GTGCCCAGACCGATGAAACCAAACCATTACAAAGGTCTTTTATTCGAAAAAGTGCAATGGGTTACTACAAAATATAATTTGAAAAGTCAGCACGCACAAGCCAAGGAAAAGACTTTTTCCATGATAGTCCATAGAAAGCACAGTCTGGAGTAGTCTAAGAAATGTGTGTGTATGTACAATACACCACCTTAGTGGTCTTGCAAAACCCCATCTTAACAGTGGGCAGTTTATGATCCAGAACAGATGGGATTAATGCTTTTCATTACCATGGCTCAATGTAGCCTTAAGGAAGTAAATATACCCTGTGGTTCCGAGAAGTGAATCATTTAAGAGTATAAATGGTAAGGAAGTAAAAGGGGAACTTACCCGTTAGACGGTGAGTAGACTAGAGAATGGTGACTCAATGAGGCAATAACCTGAGGGAGACAAAACTTCCAAATGGCAGAGGTAATGTGAGATGAAGATGTTTGGTGTAGTATACATACGAGCTTCAAAGATCTCATCCATGGTTCATCATAAGTTCAAAGCCAGAGTGCAAGCCAACTGGCACATTTGATGTTATGAGATATGATAGAGCTAGAAATCATTTCCTTTCAGGGAGGAATATATGATCCAGCTGTGTCAAATCCATTTGGTGAGCATAAAGAACGTGAAGTCCCAGAAAGAGAGGTCTCATGGCAAGAATAAATAAATGGTAATGGGAGCCCAGAAATGGAGTTGTGTGTACCAAGTAACACCCAACCTCCCAAACTAGACATAAATGACAAACAGGTTCAGTATGATAATAGAAGGCCGAAGATGGACGAAATAGAAGAGGGAGGAAAGAAATGATCTCCCTCCTGAGTCACCAATTTGTAGGAAGAAACAAGCATTCAGGGAATAAGATCAAGATCTGTGAAACCAAGTAGTGGAGGCCTCCAATGCATAAAGGTCAGATCTGCAATGACCACAAGCAAGAAGGAAACAGCTGGAGAAGTCTGACCAACAAATAAAAAGCTAGACAAATGGATAACAATCTCAGATGAAAGGGAGGCATGTGAGATGGTAGCTGAGGTTATACATAGAGGAGGTATCAATCATTGGCATGCCCAATCAGGAGCAAATCCAACCTGAAGAATAATCCTGTCCAGTCAAGTGAGAAAATCTGCCACTAAGTTGGAAGTTTCTGGGACATAAGAGGTGGTTAAACAAACCTGATATGAGTGGTCCCAAAACAGAAAGTCCAACATACAGAAGCAATGGTCTCAGGTGCACGTCCCACAATTAACAAATGATATGGAAAACAAATGTAGAATTGTCAGAGTTGATCATAACCAATTGATCCATCAGGCAAAGTATTATAGTGGAACATGCCTGATGGGCAGCCAAGAGTTCCAAAACATTGATGTCAAAAGGTATGCTCCATGTAAGACCAAATCCATCAGCCCGAGGAATCATCTAGAGATGTGCCCCAACCCGTGAGAGATATGACAATGAGGAGATGAAGAGCCAGACATGAGAAAGATATTGGAATGTCGATCATAATGTTGGCAGGATACAACCACCAATAAGGATTCTCGAGAAGAGAAGGCACCAGCATCACAAGAGAGAAGATAGAATCGCAGTAGATATTCCACTAATCGCCCTAAGGTCATTGAAGAAGCCTCATGTGAGCATGGCCTAAAGGGACAAGATGTTTCAGAGATACAAGAGTCCCACACAGAGAGAGAACCTCTTGTGCAGGAAGTATAGGAGAGGCAAGAATCAAGGTGACTATACACTCATGTCTGGCAGAAGAATGGAGAAAGTTGAGCCCTATGGAATCAAAAATTGAAAAAGACTCCAAGGTGAACCAAGTAATAAGTCAGATAGAGGAATGACTTGGAAAGTTTGACCAGCCAACCCAGACAAGCAGCTTCTTGAAGAAGTGATATGGCTGAGAAAGAAGCCTCCCAAGAAGAGACAAGAAGCTAATAGTCCTCGGGAGGAGAAAGTAGTCACAGACACTTGAGAATTCATTATGATAATGGAATTTTCCAGTTTTTTTAGTATGCAGTAAGTGAAAGAAGTATGTTGAAGTCAAATAAAATGAGCAAAAGTTAACATTAGAATAAAGGCAGTGCAAATTTCACATTGAACAGTTTAAACTTTGAGAAACACATCTGTTCATGACAGTACCAAGGAAACAAAATCAAGCTAATTTTGAGTACAATTGTTTATGGAGATCTACCTTACTGCTCAAAAAAAAATGTATCACCCTCCCATTGGTGGAGGGCTATTGTCACATTATGATTACATCACACACTAGTGCAGTTCACGTTAAAACACGTGTCTAAGATGGGAGATAACTCAAGGTTAGTGGCATGTGCAAAATCTCAAATGCAGACAAGCAAGGAATAGCTACTGTGTACAGAAGTAAGGATATCATTTCGAAAAGTCAACTTCACTTCTGAAAATAAACTCAATGGTAGTTCCCCTATAGGATTATGTTATTTGTCACAAGGATGTAAACTATATAATATTTGAGATAAAAACAACTTAGAATCTCAAGACCACAGAAATTGTGACACAGGGGTGCAGTTCCCAAAAATATGATCTTATATCTTCTAATCAAACGAATTTTTGCATACAAGCTAAATCTATAGAGTACTAAGCCTTCCTCTGCCTTCATACACTTTTGGTATACTAATGTGACTCCTCCCATACTTAACTTGTACTTGATTAATGAAACCTGGTAATATTAAAAAACAACAAAAACTTTTAAAGCAGACCACCATGAGGACAGTTGTTCTTGTTTTGAAAATAATCTATATATATGAAGCACTTTTAATTCTGAAATTAACATTTTTCTATACTATTTAGGCCAGTGATAGGGCAATGCCTAATAACAATATCAAGGCACATATCTGAACATTTAAACCAAACATTTTGGTTTCTTTATGACATCATGTGAAGTGAAAATCATCTAAATTCTTCAAATATTTCAGTCTGAACTCTCTTAATGTTTGTCATTTCATCATGTCTACTGTTATACATTACAAATACTACCATATTCTAGAAATACTTTAATTTTAATTTCTTTTAGTTGTAACTGGTCAGATATCCTTTTGCCACATCTATATTAGTCAATAGCAGCCTTGGTCATCACGGTTAACAGCACAAGCAGCAAAATAGTCCTTAATCATTAATAGTTTCTGCAATGCCAGTATATTCTGGTCCAAATTTTGTTGAGTTCTATTAAATTTGAAAAGTAACTCGCATGCTAACAATCAACATATATATTTGCTTGTTTGTAATTAAGTATAAAATTACACAATGGGCTATCTGTACTGTGCCCACCACAGGTATCAAAATCCTGATTTTTAGCATTTTAAGCTTTCAGACTTACCACTGAGCAATTGAGGAGCCAACATTCATGAAAATGAGTAATGTTGTTCAGTACATTAGATTGTCCACTGCATGATCTTGTACAGAAGTAAGTATACTAAATTACTGCTAGTATCATTTTAACTCAAATACTATCTATCATTACTAGAAAGTATGTAGTCTACACTGGTCTGGTTGTTAAAATGAGGAAAAGTGTCTTGGTTTAAACAACATGCAGGGTAAAACATCAACCACAAACAAATTTTTTTCATCATAAACTAACAATGTGAAATAAATTTCCTAATGGTAATTATAATTAAAGAAACAACTCAAAAATCATTTTAAAAGTTATAATTAATAATATGTAATGAAACTAAAAATAAAGAAAAATGGAATATATTAGATATGAAGTAGATCAACCAGTAGTTTGCTATTCAGAACTACATAGCTTACTATTACATGAAAGCTTTGCATATCTAGCATCACAAACTAACAGATGTTAGAAATTGACTAAAATTCATTGCAATGAAATTTCACAAAGCTTTAAAAAAAATCATCAAGCTGGCTAAATGTGGGTGATAATTTTTTGGATGACTTGTAAATACACAAGTCTTATTTTATCGTCTTTTCACTGAGAAGTCATTGTTAGTGGTTCTTTTTATACCAGAACAGTGCTAAAATATGCTATAATGGTAAGTTGTTGATGATGACAAATAAGTTTCAAATGCTATAGTAACAATACGTGTCTATATATAAGAATATTTATGCAAGAAAAAATTTTCCTCAAAGTTAGTTTTATATGACATGGGTGAGCCTGTATAACAACAAAACCACAAGTCATATAAGACTAACTTTTTTACACACAATGAAAAGTGTAAAGAATTACAATAAATTATAATATCACTTTTAAAACAATTAGAAAAAAAAAGCTATAAGAAATAACAATGTCATAATGTTTATGGGCTTTTCAAATGATTTGTGATCAAGTGAAATTGAACCGAGCTTAAATTCTTGCATACAATATGCTTACCTAGAAAGTCTGCAGTAAAGAAACTGTTCAGTACAAGGGTAATCAAATAAGTATTGAAGAAAAATACTTGTGTTATAATACAGGTAAAATATATTCATAAAATTCAGTTTTTTTGGTAAATTTATATTCCTTTAAATTAAATTAATAGACTAATTTTTTTAAATAATCTTTGATTGACTAAGAGCTGGGCAATTATTACAGATTACAAAAATGTGAAGGGTTCCTACTAGACATCAATAAAAACCAGAATGGTTTGTCTAACTGGAAGTTAGGCAAAATATACTTCATAATGATGGATATATCTGGCAAAACGTTTTTCAGTTTTGTGTATTTTGTACGAATAAAGGTAATGAAATACACTGTTTTACCAACATAATATCTTAAGTTGCATTTCTTATTATGTAACTTTGTTTTTATGATAAGTTTTATTGCAAGATTTCTTTATGTGATTTCCCCTCCATTGGATAGTTTATGACATACATATTTTATATTCATAACTTACACAGAATTATGTAACTCAGTCAGAACTGCTTCATATTTTAGTACAAATAGTTTAACTAGTTACACCCTGGTTGGCAAAGTTTGAACACAAGCTCAGACATTAAGACATCAAAACACCATTCCATTAATTAATCAAGTTTTTAATATCAGATCTCACAAATACTGCAGTAAATCAGCTGTATTGAATACATTTTAAGACTTTGATAAGACCATAACTAAATATGGCATATTTGGGCCAGTGACAGCACGGGTTTGAAGAAACATCTGCTCATGCACTTTCATGAAAACTCAAACATGGATCATAAGTACGTATGAAAGCAAAATTGTAGCTACTTAGAGACCTAACACCACTTAGCTGATTACAAAAAGGCAATCAAAATTAATAACTACATAGTTCAAGCAGGCAATATACTTCAATGAACGGAATGAATTTTTCCTTTTACGTTGTGTGTAAACACACATATGTAATAATAGCTTCTAGACCAGAATCTCTGCATACAAGAAGTTCACTTAATTCTCAATAGAAAGATAAAAAGTACATTTTAGTCATGGTACTTTTCTAGGACCATCACACCAGAATTCTTTTACAACTCCCTATGATAAAAAGTACATTTTAGTCATGGTACTTTTCTAGGACCATCACACCAGAATTCTTTTACAACTCCCTATGATAAAAAGTACATTTTTGTTATGGTACTTTTCTAGGACCATCACACCAGAATTCTTTTACAACTCCCTCTGATAAAAAGTACATTTTAGTCATGGTACTTTTCTAGGACCATCACACCAGAATTCTTTTACAACTCCCTATGATAAAAAGTACATTTTAGTCATGGTACTTTTCTAGGACCATCACACCAGAATTCTTTTACAACTCCCTCACTCATTATTCAGTTGAACCAGGTCAGAATCAACAAATAACTACCCCCAGAGTTACAATCAAAGATAACCTCTCTTAATGGCAATCATAATGATAAGCATATTTAGGTGGTTACATTTAATATTCTCACTCAAATAATAACCTCAGAAAAAGGTGTCATTAATCCCATGCACGTACTCAAAATCAAATATATCCCACATTCAAATGGTTGCAGTTAACAATTATTGTACATAGGTCACTACAACCAAAGATAACTCCACTCAAATTATTAGTCAATAATAATCACACCTAAGTGGTAAATAGTCAATAATTATCACACCTAGGTGGTTACAATCAATAATAATCACACCCAGGAGTTTACAATTCACAATTATAATGCGCAGGTGGTTAATATTAATAATTATCACACCTAGGAGGTTACAGTTAAAAATAACTCCACTCAACTGCTCATAATTTTAAACCACTCAAATGAACAAGAAAAGAATGTCCATTGACAACTAATGCGTCCATTCTAGCAAATATTCTTTCAGAGGTCCAGGGAGTGGAAGTTTACTAAGATTTGGTGCCACTTTACAGCAAAGAGCACTGTAGATGCTTAATCGGGAGATCTGTTTTAGAGTCCGGGGCTGGGTGTAAAGTTGTCGCACCTGGGAAGCAACCAACCGCCTCATTGGTACAAGGGCAGTCTGGGTGTGGAGGATCTTCAGACAACTGTAGAGCTCTCTATGATTCATACTGTAGTAGTAAAGCCATAATAGTCTGGAAAACCTCTGTTCAACATCTGCAAGGAGTTCTTCCTTACGAATTATCAGCTGGATGTAGTAGTACAATACCTAGAAAAGTTTATATACATTTATTTCTGTGCTCAAATTGATTATTTTGATACTATGACTATAAAAAAGAAAGCAAAAACTAAAACTTAGTTCACAGAAAACAAAGTTTATGAGTGCTACCCAGCAGCCAGAGGACTATCAGTTACAATGGAATATAATATTATCATTGATATGAAAATTCTAGAAACTTAAATTATAATAATAATACTAATAACAACTAGAACTGAACTTCTAACATTTACAACATATATACAAGCAGTGTAAAAATATCATCACTTTAATAAATACTAAACACATTAATTGATCAAATTGTTTGTAACACCTTTTGAGGATAGCTTCAGTTTTTCAATCAAACATATTTTGATCTTCATATAATGCATTTAGGTTGACTATTTTTGTAAGATTTTTTTTAATTAATCATTGGAGAAGTAAACTATTTTTGCAATTAACATTTAAAAATGTTAATGGCATGAATATACACATATAGTATTAAAGGACCAATCACAATATCTGTGGACCTTGCCACTTTTCCAATTTGGTATTATTAGTGTTCCAGTTGAGGTGTAAAAATATTTTAACAAGTTTAATTGGAATACACTGCAGTTATCATCTGTATATTAAATTTTGATCTATGCATCTCACCAAGTACAAAATTCCAGGACCCACCCTCTTAATGTTCTACATGGATCCAGGGACATACCTCGTTCACTCAAATCTTTCAAAGTTGTTTCATAATTATAAAATGGAAATATTATGATAAACTAGAGTTACTTTAAAACAGGAGTTTTGAATTATACCAGTCTATATCCAGATGTGTTAAAAGCACATGACAATGCTTTGCTGTACTTACTGCTAACTAAATGTTAACATTTTCTTACACTGAAAATGTGTTTCCAATAGGTACTTACCTCCTCTCAGCCAAAACTATCTTGATCTTGGTTTGCCATCTAAGAATTGCTAAAAAAATTTTGCTAATTGTGCACCAATCCTTTATACCCCTTGATTTTCACTCCATTACAGAACATTTGCTGATCATGTATCTACCCTCCACCAATCATACTGCATCATCTATAGTAGCGCAAGTAGCTCCCTCTTCTATTCTAGCACAATCCTCACTTTTGAGGATTGGCAGGTAAAATCTAGAAACACTGGCATATCAGTGTGGAGGAAGGGTGGGAAGTGGGTGAGAGAAGGTAGGAAATACATTTTTAGCGTAAGAAAATGTTAATTTCCGAAACAGTACTACTTCGTCTCATCCAAAGCTAGAATCCTACATTGCAAAGGTGGAGGGGCAGGAGAAGGCATGACAGTATTCAATCAAGCAGAGAGCAGCCACCTTGAAGGAACAGGTGTGCCACAATAAGAAAAGAAGGCACATCTGTGGGGTATAGCACAACTTCTGGAACAGGTATGCTCTTCACCTAGTAATGAACACAGTAATACATATAGGACAGAATGTAATAGGCAGGCACCATAGACTCAAGAAAGAGACGTACAGCACTGTTATGTGAAGAAGTGCTGTATAGCTATGATGTGAAACAGCACAGCATTGACAAAAACAGAATCTCTAGTGTGTAATCAACAATGGGATCAAATAAATATATGCCAAGGACAGTCTTGGGCCACACTGGAGCACATCAATTGCTGTCCAACCAGGCAAAACATCCAGTGGAAACGCCTTGTCTAGGATATTGTGAGCAACAAGAACAATCCTTCCTGACAAAATAAAAAATCCAGGGGAAGCACTTTGAATAAGTAGTTTGATGAAAAATTGTCAAGTAATTCAGAATCAGCCCATTGTCAACAAACAGTGCATAATACATTCACATATGTAGCACGCATTAGCATGGGACACAGTGATAGTCATAGTAAGGTGTCTAATAATGTAATATAAGTATACGTGGCTAGGGCTAAAAGACTGTAAATTGTATATGAATAGGCCAAGTGTGAATAAGTAGTTTGAATGGGGAAGTGCCTTGGGATATGTTGGATTATGACAAGTGCAGTCCATCTGGGCAAAAACATCCAGTGGAAGTGCCTTGCATAAGTTTGTAAGATCAGCAAGTGTGGTTCGCCCGGGCAAACACATCCAGAAGAAGGGCCTTGGGACACAATTGAGTATGTCAAGTGTAGTCTATCTGGGCAGATAACATCCAGTAGAAGCAAACTACATAAGAAATTTACTTTGTGATCAACACTTGCAATCAGCCTGGGCAAAAATATCCAGGAGAAGCAGCTTGGATCCAGAATATAATGTTACTGCATAATGAATAAGTATAAAGACAATAGCCTTCTTCTCACTGAGTGGGTACATATGAGCTATGAAATTTGATTTAGTTTATTGTACCAACCCTACTCGGGAGGAAGACTCCATGGACCGCCACTCCAGCAACTGGGAACCACATGTGGCAAAGGCTCCTGTGCTCAACTAGAAGAAAAGGGTAGGTTGGGGATACACGTCAGGGAGTCTGGAGAAATGACACACTGGAGACAGTGCAATGAGTGTCTGCAATTCTCTATTTTGGAAAGCAGAAAAATCCCAATTGTAAGAATCACATGTCAGTAGGGATGGGAAAAATCCCCACCTGCTTTACTTATGAAGTCCATGAGTGACAGTCCTTTATATACAAAACAGTGATATATACATACATACACACACCACTAGATAAGCAGCCTGTGGTCTTACAGAAACACCCCATCACAACAGTGAATGTTATAAAAGTATCCAGATTTAGTGCTAATATAATAAGCATACCTGACAAGACAACACCTGCAACCAGGCAAGATCCTCAAATATGATGTATATCAATGAAATAAGATAAAAAATAATAATATGTAGACTTATCCAAGTCAAAGGCGAACACATGTGTGTAGAAACACCACAGGATGAAGACAATACCTGCCAAAGAAGACACAGTTAGGTTGTGCAGATAATGTGCGACAAATGTATTTGGAGTTGTCCACATACTAGCCTGAATGATCTCCTCCAAAGTATAGCAGTTTCAAGCTGCTAAAGACATAGATCATGAATTTGGTGTGAAAAAACATTATGTGGATGGCAACCTTCCATGGACATGTCAGAACACACCAGTCATATGAGTTGACAAACCCAACCAGTAAGCATAATAGGTGATAGGTCACAGGAAACAGGAATTCCATGGAGCAAATAGACAGAAACAAGAACCATGAAAGGTGGCAGTACAAGTTATGTAACATAGCAGGGAATGAACTGGATAAAGTAGTTGATCCAGGTCCGAACAAGAGTACAGGTGAAAAATGGAAGGTAAGGAAATGGGAGAAAAGGATAACATACGAGGAATGGTAAAGGATGCAGGAAACATTAATGGCATAAATATTGCAATGACGATGGCCGCATGCCAGGAGGGGGAATAAATAGGTCTTAAGGGAAAGATGATACAAGAAACACATTGCAAAGGGTTCAAAGGGAGAACCAGACAGGACAGGAAGGACAATATTGAGATCCCAATCCAGCAAACCAATCGAAAGGAATAAAAAAGGAGGGAAATAACCGAGGACAAGAAGACTTTCCAAAAGCGGGAGAATGGAAGGTGTTAAACAAGGCAGCCCTATAACGAGCAACAGTTGAAACAGACAAACCCTGATCAAACAAATGGGATGGTCAGAAGCCATGGCAAATAGACCAAAGTCTGAAGTAAGACAATTGCCTCTGGTACATAGACATGGAGTAAGGGCAAATGGTATGGGCAAGGGACTGGATCAGGAGTAACCAGCAGAACACATGGTAGGCATATAGGTGAACGACCCCCCCCCCCCCATTTAGACTGAAAGCATCCACTCCCAGAGCTAAGGGGTTAGGAACTGAAAACCAGAAGGAAGGAAGTTTGGCATTCCAGTGAATGGGAAACACATAGATATGCACTGTTCCCCATTGAGAACACATCCACAGAAATACCTGAGGATGAAGAGACTACTCCATGGGGAGAACCTGGTTGGGATGGGATAAGTGATTGGCCACAAGATTCAAAATTCTGAGAACACGATACACCAGAACTATCATGTCATGATCATTGGCCTAGTACAGGAGATTCAGTATGAAAACACAGAGATCTGGACTTGGTTCCTCCTTGCTTGGTGATATAGCTGACAAAAGTGGAATTGTCAGAATGAGCCATAACCACCAACACTCACAGGAGCAGTAGGAAATGATACAGAGTCCAATGAACTGCCAAAGGTTCCAGGATGTTGATATGGAGAGTAGCTTCCCAACCCATCAAGGAAGCATCAGTGAATAGATAAGACTTGGGTCAAGTTCCAGTTGAGCCACCAAGCACGGTTGGCCCTGATCCCTGGTGGAAGGGTCATGGGATGGTCCAAGAGAACATGGGAGAAGTTCCACTAATCAATAAGCATCCAAAGAAGGAAATGCATGTACGCCTGAAGCAAGTGAATGAGAGCTTCCAAGGAAGCCCACATCCATGAAAGATACAGAACCTTTCATGCAGAGAGAGAAAGAGAAGGTAGGGCTTTTGTGTCTGCCTGCTCCATATCCAGGAGCCAAAATAGAGAAGGCTGGGCCTGACCAAGATGGGAATTGAAGAGAATCCACAAATGAATAAGATACTGCATAGGGGGTAATAAAGGACTTCTCGGACTCCATGAGAAACCCCACCCGAGCAGCTTCTCGAAGAAGTAAGCATGCATGTATGAATGACTGACTGAGCATGGGAAGAGGCAAGCAGTAGCCAGTCATCCATGTAATGGTGAGTCCGAAGACCCAGTGAGTGAAGATGATGTGCAAAAGAGTGTACCACTCAACAAAACATATAAGGAGCTGAAGAAATACTGAACGGCAGCATCCAAAACTGGAAGACAGAACCCTCATGGATCAAGAGAAGAAAATGGCGCAACTTAAATATGAAGATAGGCATCCATCACATCAAACTCGGTTATCGAAAGTCCCAGGGGAAAAACTCACTGAAGTGAGAGGTAGGACTCCATGGTGTAGTGAGGTGTCTCCA